CTTCATGACAATGAGATCAATGTTATCGGTTTCATGTAATTGTTCCCAATTATCTCTCTTTGGCGCTTCAAACACGATGAAACATACAGGAAACAGGTCTAACGTAGGCCGCCTAATTCACTTCTCGGCGGTCTTCCACGGAACAGAGGCCTGTTGTTTTCCTAACCTACTTGTATTGCCTAAATTAGTAACATAGTAATATTGATATGATAACAGCATAATTAATTTCAATTTAATTGTTCGTAATCGTCGGTTTGCAGCAGGTGAAGAATACAAGGAAAACGTTGAAACGTGTTATAGACGAGAGATAGACGAGAGACGGAATGATTTTATGGCTTAATTTGTAGATCGAATGATGACTAAGTTCAAGTGAGCAAGTGGCACGCGCAGAAGATCGTAGGCGGTTTATATCAGGGAGAAACGAGAGTCGACGCGTCTGTCAGGTAATAGTGTACGTCGTCCCGTCGACATGGAAACCCGCGTCCAGGAAGGGAGACAAAGAAATAGTACACGTGTACGCGTGCTGCCCGCAGGGACACAGGAAGATAGGAAAGTCAATGGACAGTCGTTGGACGGGTGTTATACGATTTGACAGCTTCTCGTCGTTGTTTGCCCGAAGTATTTTTGTTAAACTAATCACGGATTAATTACCGTTATCCGGCGTCCCGCGTTAGCCGTGCAGTTGTTTCGAAAAAACGGTGCCTCAGAACGCACTTCATCAGTCCCGAGTAGAGTTTGTCGCTTTTACTTCAAGTCGTTCGAGCCAGTATTTTATCGGGGTAACATTTCGCCGAGAGAGTTTGAAAACTTTTAAGCGCACACGAGTGTACTTACGAGTTCTAAACAGAGATTTGTTTCCACGAACTGTTATCAACCCGAGGAAAATTCGAGTGTAAAAGGGTACGAGATCGCCGCGATGAAATATCGAACGATCCTCGAATGTGTAAAATAGATTAGATGCGGGAAACGAAAGTGTATAAAGTGAACGCGTCGCGTGAAGCTTATCAGCGTAAAATTTTCTAATACACCGCGGTGCCTCTTGCCGACGATTCCTATCTGAAACGAGAATTTTATGGGCGCCGGCCACGCTAAGGAAACATTTTCCTAAGAACTTGGATGTCCTTCGGAAACTTTTTCTTCAACCCTCTTGCAACATTGTTTTCGCTTCACATGTGTACCAATAACTTGTATCTTTCGATTATAATCTGATTTCATGATTTCATTTTATAACGATTAGATAATGCGTTGTCTCGCAATCTCTTTAATCTTAATTACACAGACTCGATGAATCGTTCGGGTATCTTCACTATGAGACGTGACATTTTGTGTCGTTAACCAGTACTGATTTGCATACGTAATATAATGCGAGTGGACTCGACTATTTCTTAATTTTACGTTAACTTTAACTTTCACGTTTCACAAATATGACGTAATCCACGAGTGTCCATCGTATTGTAACTCACATGATATGATGCGTTCATGGACAGATCAACGAAATCGATCATACCTCTCGTACAGAATAGCGGCGTTTCGCTTTGTTGATCGATCGCTATTTCTTTTTTCGTTTTGTCGCGAGTGTTAAATGGAATACTGCTTCGTTCGATTGTTTCGCATCGTGGCTGATAACGGTGTTAAAAATTGTCACCGCCCTAATCTTTTTGGTAGCGGAGCTCATATGTCGCGATCGAATAATTTTATCGCTGCGATGATTGATCGGTGTTCAGGGAAGAATCGAATTCTCGCGTGGCAGAGACTTTACGGAGTGCAAACGTATTTTGCATACAGTGTTCGCTACAACGCGTTATTGACAAGGTGTTCTCGTCGATACGTTGAGTGACCGTACGCTTCATTGGAACAGGTGTAGACGTAATCGTTTTCTTGCAATCGGTTGAAAAAAGAGAGAGAGAGAGAGAGAACAAATGAAATAAAGTGTGAGTGTGTTGTTCGACTCAGTGAGTCCTCTTCCTCCGGTATGAGCACAGACTGGATCTATTTCCGTCGCCAATTTGTTCCTAGCTGTTTAGAATATTTTACTCTATCGCAGGAGAGTTGCGATACCTGTTCTACAACTCGTCTGGCCAGAGAACCGCGTTTACTACTGCCTCTTGATTCCCGACGTTGAACAAGCAAGCGTGTCGAAACTGAAACTTTGACACGAAGATTCCTTACACAAAGGAACATCTTTGTTATACATTTTTTTCTTCTTTTTCACTAGAAACTGTCGCGTTAGTTTGTGCTGTGGCATCGGAAGTGCCTTACTGAAAGTAGATAAAGAAGCGAATAAATTACCCATAAGCCGTTAATAGCAACGCTTGTAGTTATTTTACCGAAGATTTCGTGGAATGAATTATATTTATACACGTACCTCAGTAGTAGAAAGTTTATAATACGTGATCAAAAGTTTCGACTACCAAAATTCGTGGAACCAATCGAAGGACGGCCGCCAGAAATCTGCCTTGGCCTACTCGATTGAAAGTTGTGAGTAGTTGTACGATCACCTAAAAATCGCATCATAAAAAATGTCCATTGTATGTATTTATTTCAAAGAATCATCGTATCAATGAAGATCAGATACTTTACCTATTTAATATATTAATAATTAATATCCAGGTTAATACAAGTTTTAGAAAAGCTTGTAGAAATATTTTTCTTATTCTGAGTGGTTTCTTATTATAAGTACAATTCTTTTTCATGATAGAATTGTTTTCCATCGATTGCCATGATACACACTCGTGCCTGCTAATGGATTTTGACATTGATACTCTAATATATACGCGAATTGTAACTATATACTCACACATGCGATGAATTATCATCATCCAACTGTTAATTGTCACAGTCTAACGGTGCTCGTGTCGTGGACTGTGCCTCGTGTACACCCAGAACATCAATATTTGCTTTAGGTTTTAATGATATCGTTGAATCCATAGAATCAGCAATTTTACAGTACCCAGAAAGTGTCTTCAAATAATGATCACACTGGTCTCTACGAGCCATTCCTTCTTGTTATATTTCAAAGTATTTTCTGCGTTGTCTGTGTATTTTTCTACTTATATGAATGGTTAATGTAATAACATCGGTAAATAAATCATGACGCATACAGAGTAAAGCCAATTGGAAACGTGGTTTTCTTAGATGTTCTTTAAAATATACGTGGTATGTCCTTAACATCTGCATTGCATCATCACAGGTTACGTTAGTCAAGCGACTATCATATTTTACTTCGTAATTTTTATCTAATCTTGTTCCACTTTTAAAATGAATTCTTATAATTCTAACTACTTCTCCCACTTATTTAGGCACAGCATAAAAGAAAACGTTTAGCTGAAACAAAATAAATTCCAAATCTTATCAATTTGACCTTAGATTAGCTTAATTCCATTAATTCAAAAGTTCAAAAATCTGGGATTATTTGTGATAATTTAATATGACACTTTGGTCGCACATCGATCGAAAAAATCAATAATACTCATTTTTAGTTTAATAATATTAAAAAGTTAGATAGAATATTTAAAAAATAAAAATTTCAATCGTATTTATCTAATGAGTCATTTAAATGCTTAACGGACTCCTACTCGTTAAAGCTAAAAGCCAGAGATAGCTGGCATTAGTTGTATTAATGTATCCGATCTGATTTAGGCTCCGCTGCGTTCAATGCAACCAACTGTCAGGGGGAGCCCCCAGGTTCTCAGTCCTGGCTTGCTACGTCCATTTACACCTCCGGATCTTTCTTCTATACCTCATATGGACGGTACACCCCCACAAAGCAGCGGTGTTCGTAACAGTTCCTCATCTGTGAGCGGTCGAGCCAATGATGGAACCCAAGAACAATCCGGCCCTTACATCATCGGTAGCCCCATCGATCTTAGCAACATCGATAACGTCGATAATATTGGCCTACGTTTAGATCCTCTGTCGAGTGGACGTCGAAGGACACGCGAACACATTGAATTGCAGGAAGCTGCAGTACTGGAGACGAGTTCTGGAGGTAAGACATGTTCGTGGTCTGTTATTTGCTATAATTGCTAACCGAACACATTTTTGTTGGAGAGGAATGTGCACAGGTTTGGGTAAGCTGTAAACGATCGTAGTGTCACAGTTAGATATAAAGTTTTATTAGTCATTGTTGTTATAAAGATATATGCAACGACAATACATGTCGGTAGAATTTATAGTCGCAACTTTACATTCTACGTATTGAAGATTAGATTTATAGACAATTTTATATGGCGCTTAAATACTCGTAGTGCACTCTAATGTCAAGTTTTTGAAGTAGAATTTATTCGATGCTTTTAATACTGTTCTACATGCTATATATATTCATAATAATAATTTAGTTGTTACCATTATTTGATTCCAAATATATCCTAAAACGTTGTTTAATAAGATCACAATAAAAAGTGAAAATACTATGAAAATAGCATGAACGGATTGTCCAATAAGGTATATCAGTGGCGCGAGGCTATCTCCAGCCCACCCCAGCGGAAGTGTCCTTGGCCTATAGTCTACGAGCACCGAGGTTGTTTATTGACGCAACCTTACCGTACATGTCTTCGTATTCATGGAAAATGCTGGTGGAGTACAGCACGGTGCTGACGCCAACTTGTTGCCGGTAGTAGGCGCATGCGTTTTCGGGATAACACGTGTACAGGGCTGTCACATTTTGCGGACATCCCCTTGACAGTAGTGTACCAAATCATTTAGGCGCCTGTGTCTCTAGCAATTCAAATATTCAATGTTTTAAACTAATTTTATTGTTGTTATATGTTGTGACATTAGAAATATCAACATATTCATCTATTAGAGTATGCTCGTATTGAAAGTTGTTATTTTTCTCTTAGTTGCAGTAGTATTTTATCTTTTTTAATTTATTCTAAGGTGGTATGAATGAGAATTGAATGTTAATGACCGCTAATTAAGAGGAAGTTATGCGAGCAACATAGATAGCATGTTTAAATTACCTAACCGTTGGCAATCTAATAGACCAGATATACCTCGGTAAAGAAGCCGCTGGTGGCCAGTGCCACCTACGAACTAAAATCAGTCTCTCGAGTAAATTTGTAGACGTGATATGGTTACGGAAACTCTTTATTCGAGAATTTTTGCAGAGTAGTATTGGTTTTAGATAACAGTTTACAGAATAACCGATAAGATTGTGTTACATATATTCGTGTTACCGTTAAATAGCTAGGGGTGTGGCGACAGGCGCGAGACTTCTTCCGGCACAATGACGCAGATATGTAGTTTGTTTAACCGATCGTTATCTCAAGCAGAAAAGTGTTCGATCAGTGTATGTTAGCTACTCTTTTACGGAGGAATTGTGTAGGTTTTCACAAAATGTTGACGATCTATATTTCTGTTTTTCTCTTCCTCAGTGACTTAAAGAGATTCGGAGTTATGTATGAGATGCCAAAATTGTTAATTAGTTATAATTGCTATATTTTTTATCAATAACGAATAAAATACTCAAATTGTTTAATTTGTATTTTTTAAACTTAATACTGATTGGTGTTTATTTCTCGATCGTCATCAATTCTATTTAATTCGGTAGTTCCATTATATTGAATAGGCTATTTTTTTTCATTTCCAATTTTGTTCACGTTCATCTAGTTGTTACACAACTGTTTCAGTAGTGGTGACGTACAAATGGATAATATATTGCCGGAAGTAATTATTACATGATTGGTGTTGAGAAACTATGGGATATACGAGCTCAAATATTTTGCGTGCACGCGTGTCGTGGAATGATGTATGTGCACTACCAAAGAATAATCATCTAACACTCACGTTAGGAGTTTGATATGCATTTTTTATTTTGCATAATGTGGTCTAAATATAGTAAAATACGATTAGCATGTATATATTCATCATTCCTAATATATATATATATATATATATGGATTTGATAATACTCATGTCAAGCATTTGTGATTTATAATATTAACATATTCGTCTGCTTAGAGAAGAGCATTTGACAAATTTTACTTAAATTATGAAATGCATTTAAAGGATATTTATACTTTATATATAAAATCATTTGAAATTAAATTCTGCGATATATATACTATAAATATTTGTTACTAATATTATCATTTTATATCATTTTTATTATGAATTTTATACATCATTAACATTTTGTTTTTCGCACTTTGTAGTAAACAAATATACACAGTTGCACCAGTTGATTTTAAAATCACGAGTTAAATTGAAGATTTGTCTCATTGGATGTTAGTGTCATTTGAATGAATCCTCGTTGGTCAATGTTAGCTTTATTGACCACGATAAGAAAGTTTTTTTATGGAATTCTTCTTTAGATATGCAGCTATAACCTCCAAGATGATAATACAATTCCGAACTACGTCACTGTCTGCTTGAATAACATAGAGAAATTATTAAGTTCTTTCTCGACTCTAGACTACATTCGAGTTTTACAATTTATTTTTCAATGTAATTTAACCGAAAGAAATATGAAATAATACTGACTTTATAACCTTGAATCGTTTGATCGTATCATTAATTCGGTATCTACGTGTTAGATTGTGTTAGTAATCGTATTGTCGTATCGCGTGTTAAATATGGATCGAAGTATCAAAGAGAAGTGATGTGAAAGACATTTCATTTAGCAACCGGCAACATGGAAATAGTGGGTACAGAAGTGATACGATGGTTCAACGAACTCAGATCTTGGTTTCATCTTTATTTGTACACTCAAAATCGTAAGTCAACATATGAAGAAAGTATATAACTCAACCAGTCATGAGTTAAACACGTGATCACTATTGTAATCAGATAAGAAATACTTTCAGAATTGTTTATTATAAAATAATGACATTTCAGTAGAAGTTTTAATGGGAGAAAGTATTGCAGTAACGGTAGCATATATTTTGTCGCAGTTGGTCCCATAAGAGCGGAAAATGGTGGATCTCAAGGTGACGATCAACGGTCTTCGCACCGACATGACAGTAGTGAAGAGAGGGTGGTTTTCATAAATGCTCCCCATCAACCAGCAAAATACAAAAACAATCGCATTACTACCGCAAAGTACTCACTTCTTTCGTTTGTACCTATGTTTCTTTTTGAACAGTTTCGTCGATACAGTAATTGCTTCTTCCTATTCATCGCCCTCATGCAGGTACTACTTTTAAAATATAGGTGGACATTTATATTGTATTATTAAGTAATATTTTATTTTTAATCTTAGCAAATACCGGATGTATCACCTACGGGTCGATACACAACTTTGGTTCCATTAATTTTTATTCTTAGTGTATCTGCATTAAAAGAAATAATTGAAGATATTGTAAGTATTTATGAATTATTTTTAGTTATTTAATAGAAAATACTATAATAATATTATTAATTACAGAAAAGGCACAGAGCAGATGATGAAATAAATATGCGTGAAGTGGAGGTTTTAAGGGATGGCCATTGGCAATGGATACAGTGGAGAAATATTGCTGTTGGGGACGTGGTCAAGGTTGCACCTTATTTTCTCGCAGTTTATAGATGTGATAATTATTAATAATCAACTCATTCCT